TGTATCAAACATAAGTTACTGGGGACCAGTTCTATCACAGAATACCTGCGAGATTGCATGAACGAAAGGAGGTGAACGCAATGTCAACGTTAACGGAATTTCAATAAGGTCTACTTGAAGGAAAATGGTGTTTTCAAGTGAGTTGGGTTTGCACAGTATTCCAGTTATATCACGGCGTGTCAGCTTGATGTGGGGGAGGGGCGGTCGGGTAGCCTAGAGGTTAAAGCGTTCGCTCGTCGCGCCGAAGACCCGGGTTCGATTCCCAATGTGTGAAGCCCATTTGTGGTGTCCCCCGCCGTGATATTGCTGGAATATTGCTAAAAGCGGCGTAAAACCTCACTCACTCACCTAATGTGGGAGGAAAGCCTGAATTGATGCAGGTCTTAGACGTTTAGCACTTGGGGAAATCCACGAGCTTTGGAAACATAATCAGGAAGAACCGGAATTTGTAATTTTTGCTCTTAGGTGTGGCCCTGTTTTGATTCCCAGTGTGTTCAATTTGTGATATTAATATTTGTGGGTCACGATGGCATAATTATAAAAAAAAACATCGTAAACACCAACGCACCCACGCACCCAACCACACCCACGCACCCAACCACACCCACGCACCAAACCACACTCACGCACCCAACCACACCCACGCACCAAACCACACCCACTCACTCGACACAGTGGGGATATAGTGGGGCACCTGTGTACATGGAGAGTGGTGAAAAATGACCATTTCAGGTTACCATGTCAGTAAAAGGAAAATTTCATATCGACCTGTAACACTTTATCGTAGACCACCTTACAGTCCTCTAGAGACCGCTTCCGAGATATGGTGGATAGAGCGTCTGCACGGAGAGCGGAAGGTCGGTGGTTCGATCGCCGGCCGCGCCATACCAAAAAACACTTTAAAAGATGGTACTTGTTATTACCCTGCCTGGGGCTTGGAACTAAGAGGGTAGAACAAGGACTGGTAGGCTCGGAGTCAGTATGCTGTGTCTGAGTGGGTTATTCATGTTAAACTTCGGCATATTATCTTTGTGGGCGAGCACTAAAAAACCGACATTAGTCCGGACTAGTACAAGCAGTCACACACACACACACACGCACGCACGCACGCACACGCACACACGCACGCACGCACACACACACACGACCACACACACACACGCACGCACGCACGCACGCGCGCATGCATACATATTAAGCTTAATATGAAAAATGCTAAATATAAAAATGTTGCTGTCAAGGAGTCCCGCAGCCTGGGATGGGGATGGGGATGGGGATGGGGATGGGGACGGAATGAGGGTAATTGTTTTCTGGTATATATGCACTAAGATCTTTAAGAGAAACTAAGTTAGAGATGACAAGAGGATGGGAATATGTTGCATGGGGTGCGGGGAATGGAGGTGATTGTTGTAGAAAATATTCTCAAGGTTCTGTAGGAGAGACTACATACAGGTTCACAAGTTCTATGCAGTTGCAAAGCGCACTGACACCATCAGGTCGAAGTGTTACAAGACTCACTGGTTAATCCCACATACAAGGAACGCTCTTCAGGATCCCGGTATAATTGACCCTAATGATGTAATTGATACACTATTCTTGTAAACGTAGGAGACTAATAAAAACCTCATTCATCATCAGCTGCACAGCAGAGGCTGAGGATAAGTAAAGCTGAACAGCCAAGGGACCGGCTGTAACAGATATATCAGAGTACCAGGGTGGTCAGATCTCACATACAGCGAGTTTGGCTAAACTGTACTTGGAACAATACAGCGAGAACATGTTATTCCTGACGATAGCCCTCTAACACACTTTCTGAGAGAGAGAGAGAGGGAGAGAGAGAGAGAGAGAGAGAGAGAGAGAGAGAGAGACAGACACAGAGAGAGAGAGAGACAGACAGACAGAGACAGGGGAGAAAGAGAGAGCCAGACAGAGACCGGGAGTGGGAGATAGTGGAGAGAGAGAGGGGTGAGACAGAGAGACACGGAGAGAGACAGGGGAGAAAGAGAGAGACAGGGAGTGGGAGATAGTGGAGAGAGAGAGAGAGGGGGTGAGACAGAGAGAGACAGAGAGAGAGAGAGAGAGAGAGAGAGAGCAATACAGCGAAAACCTGTTATTCCAGACGATAGCCCTCTAACACACTTTCTGAGACAGAGAGATAAGGGGTGAGAGAAAGGGAGAGGGGATGAGAGATAGTGGAGAGAGAGTGACGTTGCCAGTAGTCGGTTATTCCAGATGATAGCAGATGATAGAGAGAGAGAGAGAGAGAGAGAGAGAGACGGCGAGAGATTGGGGAGAGAGAGACAGGGGGAGTGAGAGAGAGACAGGGAGAGTGATTAAGGGTGAGAGGGAGGGAGAGGGGATGAGAGACAGAGATGTTGCCAGTGATCGGTTTCATGGGGTTTCCTGATTAACAGGGTTTCCTCGAAGTTTAGTAACACCACAGTGTGTCAGCTTCATGCGGGAGAAAAGCCCAAACCCGTAGAAATTACCGCTTGAGACCAACGAGCGAGGCATGGTGATGACTCACAGGGTTCACGGTCAGAACTAATCTTGGATTCGAACTCACGATCAATCGACCTTCGTACAGCTTAGGGCTTGTGTGCGGGGATGGGGTGACCAATAGCGGGCACAGACGCGGCCCGGGACACGGGCATAAGTCGAACGTGAATCGCTGTTTGTGGAGGGCTTGAAACGCTCAAGCAATGGCGACATGTTATCTCATATTGATTACGAATAAAATCCGCACTAACAGTGGATGAAATCAGCTTTACATTACCGTTGTTTCGCCAAATAAACTTCTACAAAAATAACCTTTGAAACTAGCCTGATTTGAAGTGCATGTAAACGCTGGCACTTGTAATAACCTGATTCAGGCCCGCAATTGAACTTGACTAATGTCATGGTGTAATAATGTGTGCAGCGTGTGCAAGGGGAGGCTTCAGGTATAATTGACTTAGTGGATTCACAGGCGTTTTGTGGTCATCAAAGTGCCATTAATACAACCCTTCATGACGAGGTTCTCAACATCTGACGGCTAACGGGAATAAATAGATTAATATTTAAAAAAAATAAAAAATGTTATGACAAAGAAAACAGGGACAGAAATGCTACCTATAGAATAAGCTGCCGGGAAAAATATGCACACACCCAAGTTTGATGGTTGCTAAAAATGAAACAAACAAGAAATGGTTATTCAGTGATGATGTGTTTGATTAAGTATCGAAGTTGTGTTTTGGGCCTTTGCAGTTTTTCGGCGACTGTTGTAAGCCTAGTAATGGTTTGATTACGCTTTTTGGGTTAAATCCAATTTTCAAGTGTATACTTTCTTTTCAATAATCAATATGGAGATAAACATATTGTGTTGTCAATGTAGAGCTAGGTTACCTTTAGATTTAACATTCAAATGTTACATTTAGGGCCAAATTATAGAAAAGCGCCAAATTCCAAGCTCTCCCCAAAACTTAAAATACTTTCTCTTTGTAGATTTCTGTTGTGTTCTCTGCACAAAATGTATTGTCACATATCCTTTGAATATTGTAGTAACTGCAACTTTGCATTTTGTAACCTTTAATTGTAGACATAATTATTTAAATATGCCTTCCGCCGATGACTGAAAAAAGTACTATTCTATGAAAATACGCTTCCGCGGTGATGCAGCCGTCAAACCACCTGTTTCAATCAGAGGGGGTTTATTGTGATTAAATAGCCTCTGATTAACCAATCAGAATCGAGTAATTTCCAAATTCATGGTAGAATAATAGTTAAAACTAGTTTATTTTAGCTTTAACGATGACGTCACAAGGCGGTACCGAACCAGGGTATCGCACCGAAGGGGTTCAGAAGGCATGGGCAGATCTGGTCAACCAAAGTATGATGTCAATCACTTAGCATTATCTAATAGGTCAGCTAAAGTAACTTCGGTCATTCCTTGGTAAAGCGCATTCACCAAAGACTCCCAAGGTTTTGATATCAAACGCGGGCCAGGAAAACCATAGTAAATAATGGATGAGCAATGTCAATAAACATTGGGAGACATGTGCGTTTATGACTAAAGGATTTTGTCCTTCAGTCATAATAGACGTCTTGTTCATACAACTTCGTCGACATTATCAATTATGAATCGAGTCACTACCCTTTATTCACTCTGACAATATTAGACAATCAAATATTTACGAAACAGCCGTTAAATTCCACATATCGGCGACCTTGCAGTCATCGTATTAGTTTGTGATCAAAACAAAGGTGGTTCAACAGGAAATGGTAATTCAATGATGATACATTTGATACGGGTATCATAGTTGTGTTTTGTACCTTACGTTTGCAGTTTTCAGCCTCGTAACGTTTTCTAACGTTTGTAAGTTTTTGGTTCAATGCTATTTTCAAGTGTATGCAGTAAACAACGTTTATAACGAACACTCTTCTAACGAAATGACCGATATAACGAACTTAAAGTTTTAGTCCAGGTCATTTGTTGTATACAAGCTGTATATCTGCTTATAACGAACTACGGTTATTACGAACTAACTGCGTTCGTTATAACCGTTTACTGTACTTTCTTTGCCCCGGCAGTTTACAAACGTAGAATGAGCGATGGGTAGAGAATCAATTTTACACAGTGTACCTATGTAGGGAATCGAACCTGGGTCATTGGCGTGACGAGCAAACACTTTATCCACTGGGCCAAGTAGGGGCACGGGTGGCCCAGTCGTCTGAGGCGCCGCGATTCGCTGTGTAGAGTAGAAATCTATTTGTGGGTTCGAATCCCGTTTCGCCCCGATTATGGTTCTAGGTTTGTCAGCAATCTACCCGCACTCGTGGGTTTCACCAAAGTGGTAAACGTTTGAGACCTGCATCACTTCGGGCTTTCCTCCCACATTAAGCTAACACACCGTGATATAACTGGAATACTGTTAAAAGCGGCGTAAAACACAACTCACACACACACACACACACGTATGCATACATGCATTCATCCAAACATTTCGTTCATGTTAACTTACGGTTTAGGACTCAAGTCAATATCACGTCGTGTCTCTGTGGTCCAGCTCTTGTTAAAGTCACAGGACTATGAAAACAAGCTCCCCAGATCTGCGTCTTTATCGAAAACACGCGGTTTGAGCACAGCAAACCAAGAAGGACTACCATGTATTGCCTTGTTTGGTGGTTATTTAACATCCAAGCCTCCAGTCCTCTCTCGTCTCAGCTTTGATAACACTAACGACTCGACCTGCCTAGCTCCGGCCCCTTCGATTGCGAAAGCTTGTTTGCTTGCATTCCGTCAAAGCCAATCTCATGGGAAAGAAATGGTGCGAGCTAATAAGGTATCTGTGCTTGTGACTCAAAGGTTTGACCCAGAACACTTTGTACTGATCCATAACTACTTTGTCATGTCAGAAAACAAATCGATATATACTGGTATATTAAGACTAAATATCGTTTTGATTTATCATTTCGTGTAATTGGTTCTTCGTCAAGTGGTCCAGACAAAGTTGATCTCCGTATGTTAATTGTAAACGTTTTGTGCGTATTATACTGCTCAAAAGAAGTAAAAGAACACTCGATTCTTTCCATTACTACAGTTAATCTGTCACAACATGACATATTAACTACACTAACATGAAAGAATCGAGTGTTCTTTAACTTCTTTTGAGCAGTATATGTACTAGTCTCGTGTTTCATTTGAACTTCAAAATGATGCCAATAATATGATTGATATAGATAAATGTTATAAATGACAATGAATGCTACTAATGCCCAAAGTAGATATTAACTAAACTTATATGGATCTCATTCAGAATATAGGTTTTATCAGTGTTTTGAATGATATAAATGCTCTGAATGAATAATGACACAAAATGATGCGAATGAATAAGTTATATATATGCTATTAATGTGCTACAAGACTTGAATGAACTAGACAAAGAACTAGCTTGATAACGGTGTACGAATCTACATTAAAACGTCGCTAAATGCAATAGACCAGAAGTTGTTATCAATAAAGTTGAACGTTTGTCTTGTAGACGAAGACGATATAGCAGTGGTATCCAACCCTCAATGCTGTACAATATATAAGTTGTATCGAAGCCTAAATGATGTTCTATGTATAAGTTGTATCCAAACCTCAACTCTGTTCTTTATATACAATGTACAATGCATTGCCACTAAGCTATTGTTGTACACGCTGCCATACAATCAGAATAGACATCGATACGGGATGTACATTAATACAGATGAGATCTAACCTCATCGTTATGGGGTTTATCAAAAAAGGTCTCTATGCCTCAATGTGGCAGGATTCTATATTGTATGTTGTTGCTTGACCTCAATGTTATAAGGTCCTATGAATAAAGTTGTATCCAAACCTCAATTCGGTTCTATATAAGAGTTGTATCCAAACGGCAATGTTGTAAAGTCCTATGAATAAAGTTGTATCCAAACCTCAATGTTATAAGGTCCTATGAATAAAGTTGTATTCAAACCTCAATGCTGTTCTATATATGAGTTGTATCCAAACCTCAATGTTATTAGGTCCTATGAATAAAGTTGTATCCAAACCTCAACGCTTTTATATATATGAGTTGTATCCAAACATCTTCCCGAGGCAAGTGAGTTAACTGACTATAAAAGTCCAGTTTCCACCCTTGCTGAACTAGGCTGGTATTATGGAGTTACATTTTGGCTGGACTAAAGAGTCTATGCATAGTTCAATCAAATTCGCGCACCGAAATCGAAATCCTGTTCGTAAACTGTCGTACAGATTTCGGTCGATTGCAGGATTTGCAAAACATGTGCACCGCCAACTCGTTGTCAGCAGATAATTTCCAAATCTGTTCATGTTTTTAATCAAGGAGCTCACGTGATTTGATGCATTTCGCGATGTAAGACCCGTTTTATCACAATATAGATCTTGATTATCGATCAGATCGTTTTGACTGGGCGCCACCATTTTGTGTGAAGCAAACGCAAGTGATACGAGAGGTGGAATCTGATTGGTCCATAGGAGAGGCTTAGAAGGGACATACCTGGTAATAGCCACTGGTGGCGCTACGATCGAGCCCAGTAAATCCAGCCTAGTTCGGCAAGGGCGGAAACTGGACTTTTATAGTCAGTTAACTCGCTTGCCATGGGAAGATGTATCCAAACGGCAATGTTGTAAGGTCCTATGAATAAAGTTGTATTCAAACCTCAATGTTGTAAGGTCCTATGAATAAAGTTGTATCCAAATATTCATGCTCTTCTTGTATCTGATCCTCAATGATGTAGGTTCTGTATATGAAGGTGCACTTTACCCTCAATGCAGTGGGGTTTTACACACGCAGGTGACACTGTACTTTACCCTCAATGCAGTAGGGTTTTACACACAAGGGTGACACTACTTTAGCGTCAATGCAGTAGGGTTTTACACACAGAGGTGACACTGTACTTTACCCTCAATGCAGTAGGGTTTTACACACACAGGTGTCACTGTACTTTACCATCAATGCAGTAGGGTTTTACACACAAAGGTGACACTGTACTTTACCCTCAATGCAGTAGGGTTTTACACACAAAGGTGACACTGTACGTAAAACCCTACTGCATTGACGTTAAAGTACAGTGTCACCTTTGTGTGTAAAACCCTACTGCATTGACGTTAAAGTACAGTGTCACCTTTGTGTGTAAAACCCTACTGCATTGAGGGTAAAGTACAGAGTCACCTTTGTGTGTAAACCCTACTGCATTGACGTTAAAGTACAGTGTCACCTTTGTGTGTAAAACCCTACTGCATTGAGGGTAAAGTACAGTGTCACCTTTGTCTGTAAAACCCTTTAGACTGTACTGTCCGCTTATCTAGACTTGCCTATTATGAGGATAGAATTACGACAAATATGCAGGCTAACGTACATGCAGTTGTATGTTCTATGTATAAAGTTGTACTTAACCTCAATACAGTAAGGTTCTAAACACAGCTATACCTAATAGTAAACGGACCTGCCACGAATATGCAGTTGTATGTTATATGTATAAAGTTGTACTTAACCTCAATACAGTAAGGTTCTAAACACAGCTATACCTAATAGTAAACGGACCTGCCACGAACATGCAGTTGTATGTTCTATGTATAAAGTTGTACTTAACCTCAATACAGTAAGGTTCTAAACACAGCTATACCTAATCGTAAACGGACCTGCCACGAATATGCAGTTGTATGTTCTATGTATAAAGTTGTACTTAACCTCAATACAGTAAGGTTCTAAACACAGCTATACCTAATCGTAAACGGACCTGCCACGAATATGCAGTTGTATGTTCTATGTATAAAGTTGTACTTAACCTCAATACAGTAAGGTTCTAAACACAGCTATACCTAATCGTAAACGGACCTGCCACGAATATGCAGTTGTATGTTCTATGTATAAAGTTGTACTTAACCTCAATACAGTAAGGTTCTAAACACAGCTATATCTAATCGTAAACGGACCTGCCACGAATATGCAGTTGTATGTTCTATGTATAAAGTTGTACTTAACCTCAATACAGTAAGGTTCTAAACACAGCTATACCTAATCGTAAACGGACCTGCCACGAACATGCAGTTGTATGTTCTATGTATAAAGTTGTACTTAACCTCAATACAGTAAGGTTCTAAACACAGCTATACCTAATAGTAAACGGACCTGCCACGAACATGCAGTTGTATGTTCTATGTATAAAGTTGTACTTAACCTCAATACAGTAAGGTTCTAAACACAGCTATACCTAATCGTAAACGGACCTGCCACGAATATGCAGTTGTATGTTCTATGTATAAAGTTGTACTTAACCTCAATACAGTAAGGTTCTAAACACAGCTATACCTAATCGTAAACGGACCTGCCACGAATATGCAGTTGTATGTTCTATGTATAAAGTTGTACTTAACCTCAATACAGTAAGGTTCTAAACACAGCTATACCTAATCGTAAACGGACCTGCCACGAATATGCAGTTGTATGTTCTATGTATAAAGTTGTACTTAACCTCAATACAGTAAGGTTCTAAACACAGCTATACCTAATCGTAAACGGACCTGCCACGAATATGCAGTTGTATGTTCTATGTATAAAGTTGTACTTAACCTCAATACAGTAAGGTTCTAAACACAGCTATACCTAATCGTAAACGGACCTGCCACGAACATGCAGTTGTATGTTCTATGTATAAAGTTGTACTTAACCTCAATACAGTAAGGTTCTAAACACAGCTATACCTAATAGTAAACGGACCTGCCACGAATATGCAGTTGTATGTTCTATGTATAAAGTTGTACTTAACCTCAATACAGTAAGGTTCTAAACACAGCTATACCTAATAGTAAACGGGCTTGACACGAACATGCAGTTGTATGTTCTATATATAAGATTGTATTTAACCTCAATGCAGTAAGGTTCTATTCACAGCTATACCTAATAGTAAACGGACCTGCCACGAATATGCAGTTGTATGTTCTATGTATAAAGTTGTACTTAACCTCAATACAGTAAGGTTCTAAACACAGCTATACCTAATCGTAAACGGACCTGCCACGAATATGCAGTTGTATGTTCTATGTATAAAGTTGTACTTAACCTCAATACAGTAAGGTTCTAAACACAGCTATACCTAATAGTAAACGGACCTGCCACGAACATGCAGTTGTATGTTCTATGTATAAAGTTGTACTTAACCTCAATACAGTAAGGTTCTAAACACAGCTATACCTAATCGTAAACGGACTTGACACGACCATGCAGTTGTATGTTCTATGTATAAAGTTGTACTTAACCTCAATACAGTAAGGTTCTAAACACAGCTATACCTAATAGTAAACGGGCTTGACACGAACATGTACCTAACCACCACTACAGTGCGAGGAGCAGACAGAATCTGGCACATGCAGCCGTCGGTGGAAAATAAATATGGAAGGGTGAAAAGGAAATGAAAATACGAAATTCCTACAATGTGTCCGTACAGCCATCCCGACATGTGTTTTTGTTGGCTGCCAGTTACAGCGAGAGGAAACAAGACACACACACCCATACAGCCTGTCTATCGGGTTAGTATGCTTATTGATGTCTCCCACCACACGGTACAGGATCAATTGTACAGCCTTCAACCGTGTTGGGATATCGGGTACTGATCACGTCTGTTTATACGTGGAGTGTACGCAGAAGGGCAGGACACGCCCATATTGCACTTGCC